TAATCTCCTGAATCTATGTCTAACATTATTCTTTTAGCCCTTCTCAAATCTCCTTCCTGAACTTTATCCTACAAACCCTAACATTATATAGCAAGAATCTGTGTTAGAGATTTTTCTCAAATGTCAGTAAAACTATGTTGTTAGTTTTGTGCCAGTTTGTGTGATATGAAGGTACCCCCAGAAATGAATAGTTTTCCAGATATGGGAAGGAGGTGGCTTTGTGCCTACAAAGCCCCGGAATGCAGCAATTTGATTATGAAGTAATAAACCCTTCTGTCACTGGGTGGTACTCGCCTTTTAAGAGGGAAGAGGGTAGTGCACCTGTGATTGGGTGACTGACCCCCAGGTGGGCTTTCAGAGAAGGCATCTGGGTGGATTGCTCTGTGAGCAAATATTTACCGTTTTGAGTGCCCTGTTCGGGTTTTCCAGAACTTCCGGTGCCCTGAAGCCTCACCATGGAATCTTTCTGCCAGTCGGCAAAGCTTTGGAGCCATCACTCATGAGAAAGGTCTCTTGGACCTGAGGATAACCACTGACGCGGTTCCAGACTTAGCTACATATATGACCCTCCCTCCTGCTCTTCCTTGTGGGCACCTACCTGAGATTTTAGACTTTCCAGCTGTCACTCGCCCTCAGACTGGGAGTTTATGCTTGCAGTCCCTCTGCACCTGACTGCAATTTCCCAGCAGATCTGATCAGGGGCCACCGCCGGCAGTTAACTCTTTCTCCAAGGGCTATAAGAGTGTATTCCAGTTACCAACCAATCTTCACAAAGCAAACTGCATTTATTCTTAGGACAAAAGCATTAAAGAGAAAACATATTAAAAAACAATAAAATGACCTGTATGCATGCTAAAAGCTTACCTAAGATCACCCTGAGCTCCAACCCCAGGCTCTGGTAGATGTCAATTTTCAGACCCCCACAACTGGGTTTGCCCATTTGCTCCCAAGTTCATGTCAGCATTTAAGATCAGAAACCATACCCCAATTGTTTAGTACAACTGTTTCTTTATACTGCTCTGGTCTTTGATTTTCAGTTTCCAAGAACAGGTAAACCCCAGTCAATGGCCCACTCCCCTGGGTGTAACTTCAAAAAGGTGTTTTTGTTGTTGTTGTTGTGGCATGAACCCCTCCCCAGAGATTCCCCAGGAAATCTGCTTGACACTTATTAAGTCCAAAAGTCCATACCTGTCTGGCACATTTCATTATAGTCATTTGGACTCCTTATACTTGCCAGGTCTCCCATCTACAACCATAATGCTGCACAAGCTCTGCATACTATATACAGGGGGCTTTGGGGAATATGATACAAAAAAGGAAGCTGAGTTCTCTTAGATGATTCAACCTGAATCTCTTGGCTATTCTCCAGAACAGCTTCTAGATAGGCCAGAGTTCTAGTTGCTGCAAGCTAAGGCATCAGTTTACTGGTGCCCTGCAAGGTTTCTTGTAATAACTGTCTTATTTGCAAGCCTCATAAGAAACAGAAATATTTTTACAATGGTTTATATATAGTTTACAGATAGCAGAAAATAAGAAACTAATATTGAACTCACCATCTCAATATATGCTTTCTATTCGTCTGCATAATCTAATAGTTACAGCCCGCATTGGGTCAAATCCTGATGTCCTTACACAATTTCACTCAGTTCTTACTAGGCCACTACTGCAGGGAACATTTTTTACAGGGCCAGATTCTAATTCCTTTCCTTATGGGGAGTAATATCTTACCCCACAGAATAAGGTACGACTCAACATGAGTAAGGATCGCAGAATCTGGTCCTCAGAGAATTCAGCCCCTTTCCCTGTTCATCACTTATCTGAGAACAGGCTTAAATTAAAAAAAAAAGTTTTCTATTTGAAATCATTCAGTATGTGGTTTATGTTCCAATCTTTGAGTTGGTTGTTAACTTAATTTGAAGTGGCTACTGCTTCAAGAATTCACTGTTCATACTTCACTATTTGAGCTATATGAGTTGTCACCTAAGTCACATGGTATTGTTTTTGCTTCCTAATTGGATGACTCTGATAAAGGTCAAATTGGAAATCTGGCACAAATTTTGAACAGTGTGTGTAATTAACCAGTGGAACAGATGACAAAGGAATGTGATAATTCTCCACCATTTGGAGTCTTTAAATGAAGATTGACTCTCTTTCTATAAGATATGACCTAGTTCAGCCATAACTTATTGGTTTTAGAAACAGGAATTACTGTCAAGTATCAGAGGGGTAGCCATGTTAGTCTGGATCTGTAAAAGCAGCAAAGAGTCCTGTGGCACCTTATAGACTAACAAACGTATTACAGCATGAGCTTTTGTGGGTGAATACCCACTTCGTCGTATGCATTACTGTGTGTTTGGTCTATGGCCTGTGTTTTATTATGCAGGAACTCAGACCTGATGATCATAACGTTGCCTTCTAGCCTTAATATCTATGAACTTATATTCCCGCCTACTGTAATGACAATTTCATAGACCTGTCTCTCCATCCTTGCCATCCTTCCATCCATTCCAGATGTCTTTCCTTTCCTATCAGAAATTAGTGAGCAGGAAATGGCCTACTCTGATCTGGAGTTTCACACTCTTTCAAAGCAGAAGAGGCAGCAAAATATTATGCATTATGAGCTGCTGGCTCCTTACTTTCTTTTATCAAAGTGTTCATAGCAAAACATCCTCCTCCTGCTGTAGCTACTGTCCATGGTCTCATATTTCAGAAACAATAAAATTAGAATTTTGTCTACTGTGGCAGGAAATGGCACGTTACTGGGAACTTGCTTAGGTCCACATTGGGCCAGGGCCTGGGCAGAAATTGGGATGTGACGGGTCTGGCCTTCACCAGGAGCAACTGTTTTCTCCAAGTCGTCTCAATTCATGCCAGATTTATTGAGCACACATTCAATAGTTATTATTATTGGATTGGTTTAGCTCCAGTGGTGGGTTCTGGCTTTGGTAGACTGGTGTGGCTGAGAGCTCTGATCTGATCCCAGAGTCTCAGGACAGGGGCACATTCTAGCCATGTTTTCTTTCATTTTCTCTCTCTTATTTCTGTTAGAATTTCCTCCATCTTCACCATGGCTCCTTACAGTGATTCTGGGGCTCCTCTGTCTGGCTTTGCTAGTAACGGCAAGGGTTTGGGTTGCCATGGGTAAGTATTTGCCAAGAAGGCAACAAAACATGATCTGAACCATTATAACTTTTAGAAGGGCTTTGAATGCGGTGTGTAAATGCATGTGTGAGACACTGTCATAGTTTGCATTACTTTGTGAAAAACAACTTTCATTTGGTATTCAGAGCCTGTTGCCCGCCGAGTGTGATTTGAATATTACCTGTAAAACATGTGAGAAGCTGAGATACTTTTAAGGTTGTGTCTACACAACATTTTGGAGCAAGAAGGAGCAAGCCTTCAAGCCCAGGTCAACAGACTCAGGCTAGTGGGGCTTCCACTAATGCTCTACAAATCGCTGTACAGACAGCACTTTGAAGTTACGTTCTGTGGTGCAGCTCCAGCTCTGAAGCCTAGGGAGAGGGGTGGTCCTAAGAGTCCTTCTGAGTGAACACTTGAGTTGATTTGAGACTTAAACTATCTACAGTTTAAATGTGGTTAGAAATGGCATCATGACTAGGACTGGGTGAATTTTTGTCAGTGAATATTTTATTAGCCAAAAAATGCATTTTTCAGGGCACTGAAACTATTCGTGAATTCAGGTAGAATTCAATGAATAATTTTGGCCAAAAAATTGATTTTTTATTTAAGAAAGAGAAATGGTTTGTTTCAGTGATTTCAGAATAAAAAGCTTGAAAACTACTTCAAAACAAAACTCTAGGAAGAACTGAAAAAAAATGCTTTGGATTGAAAAACAACCCTAAAAGGAAATGAAAAGACCCCCCTCTCCCTTTTTGTTGATTTTTTTTCCATTTCATTTTGGCTGCCTATAGATCTGAAATTAAATTTGTTGTTTTTGGGTTTTGTTCCAGGAGAAAAACTGGAAAATATCAGTTCAGGTTGGCACATATTCTGTTAATCAGATTTGAAGACCATAGAGACTGTTTTGTAAATAGCAAAGCAGTGTTACCAATTCCTTAATTACTTTAACATCAAAATAAAACTGAAAACTCCACATTGTATAAATCACATAAGAACATAAGAACGGCCATACTGGGTCAGACCAAAGGTCCATTTAGCCCAGTATCCTGTCTTCCAACAGTGGTCAACGTCACGTGCCACAGAGGGAATGAACAGAACAGGTAATCAAGTGATCCATCCTCTGTCGCCCATTCCCAGCTTCTGGCAAACAGATTAGGGACACCATCCCTACCTATCTTGGCTAATAACCACTGATGGACCTATCCTTCATGAATTTATCTAGTTCTTTTCTGAACCCTGTTATAGTCTTGGCCTTCACAATATCCTCTGGCAGAGTTCTGCAGGTTGACTGTGTTGTGTGAAGAAATACTTCCTTTTATTTGTTTTAAACCTGCTGCCTATTAATTTCATTTGGTGACCCCTAGTTCTTGTGTTATGAGAAGGAGTAAATAACACTTCCTTATTTACTTTCTCCAGACCTGTCATGATTTTACAGACCTCTATCATATCCCTCCTTAGTAGTTTCTTTTCCAAGCTGAAAAATCCCAATTTTATTAATCTCTCCTCGCACAAAAGCTCTTCCATAACCCTAAACATTTTTGTTGCCCTTTTCTATACCTTTTCCAATTCCAATATATCTTTTTTGAGATGGGGCGATCACATCTGCATGCAGTATTCAAGATGTGGGCGTACCATGGATTTATACAGAGGCAACATGATATTTTCTGTCTTATTATCTATTCCTTTCTTAATGATTCCCAACATTCTGTTCACTTTTTTAACTGCCGCTGCACATTGAGTGGGTGTTTTCAGAGAACTCTCCACAATGACTCTAAGATCTCTCTCTTGAGTGGTAGCAGCTATTTTAGATCCTATCATTGTATATGTATAGTTGGGATTATTGGTTCCCCCCCCCCCGTGTGCTAATCCACAGAGGACATGAGTTGTTACAGCCCATGGCTACTGACATTTCTGTCTTTGGGTATGTCTATGCTATGAAGACTGTACCAGAATAGCTACACTGCTGTAGCTATGTCAGCATAACCCCAAAGTGTAGACATGACCTACTCCAATGGAAGGAGTTTTACCATTGGAATAGGAACACCATCTCTCCAAATGGTGGTACCTACATAGCATTCTTTCATTTACATAGCTGTGTCTGTGCTGCGGGTTAGGTTGGCATAGCTATGTCAGTTAGGCATGGTTTTTTTCACACTCCTAACCGATGTAGCTCTGTTGACCTATCTTTCTAGTATAGACCAAGCATTTACCTGAAGTTGTATCAGCTCATACTTTTAGCTCTGGAGGTCTCCAGTTCAATCTCCACTGTGTAAGCTATGAGGGCAACTGTCACAATTCTTATTGGCATCCTGAGAATGCAAAAAGCAAATGATTTATACAAGTGTATTTAATTTTGTTTTAACTCATTTCTTGTGTTAAGGATTTGAGTTCACCAGGCTTCCCATCAAGTGAGAAGGAAAAATGAGAATACTGTGAAAAACTTTCTGTCTTTGGGTATGTCTATGCTATGGAGACTATACCAGAACAGCTACATTGCTTTAGCTATACTGGCATAACCCAAAAGTATAGATGTGATCTACTCTGAAGGAAGGAGTTTTTCCATTGGAATAGGAACACTACCTCCCCAAATGATGGTAGCTACATAGCTTTCTTTGATTTACATAGCTGTATATGTGCTGGGGGTTAGCTTGTCATAACTACATCATTTAGTGGAATGTTTTTTTCACACCCCTGACTACTGTAGCTATGTTGATCTATCTTTCAAATGTAGACCAAGCCTTTAACTCAAGTTGTAGGAGTTTGTGCTTTTTAGCTCAGAAGGTCTCAAGTTCAATCCCCAATGTGTAAGCCATGATGACAACTGTCACAATTGCTGTTAGCATCCTTAGACTGCAAAAGGAAACCAATCTATAAAAGTGTATTTAATTTTGTTATAATTGTTTTATTGTTTTACGGATTTAAGTTCTCCAGGCTTCACATCAAGTGGGAAGACAGAATGAGGAACTTATCCAGAAACAGGCTATTCTGAAAAACTTCACCAAACTGCAGGAAATCTTGAAAAACTGCATGCAGCAAAGAGGTGATCTCCAAGCCAATAACATAGAACTCTCAACTGTTGTGAATAGGGAAGGTATCGATCAGAGCTCACTCTTCTGTTATATCCTTTATGGTAATATTGTTGCTTAATCAGAATCCAGTTCTCCTTGTCCTTATTAACAACAAAAGGTACTTCTGTCCCTCTGCACAAAATGTACAAGGGCCTCATCTAAGTATTAATTACAAGGAAAGCCACAAACAAATCTTAGCAAAAATATGGTGTCCATAATAGTGGACATGATCGATGATCCCTGGCTCACTAGCTTCAAAGTAGAGAAACCTGGGTGGCTCCTTCCCAACTTACATCTCTCAATGGTACAAGGGAAAGACACTGATAAACAGGGATTTTGACAAATGCAAGAGACAAATAGGCTGCTGCACAGAGAGACCCTCATTCCCTCCCACAGCGCTGACACTGCGCTAGCTTGGATATCAGGTTTTCATCCTAGTCAACATCATCATTGCCATCACTTTGAAAACCAGGCCATGATGGTGATGATTCATCTGCAGCAGAAGCAAGTTGTTCAGAAATGCATCTCACTGTTGCTAGCTCCTGCACAATTGCTTTTTGTGAGGAGGACAATGCTGTGCTCTGCTGGTTGTTCCTACGTGAGGATTTCTCCCTCTCTCCTCTAGTGCTCTCATTACCTTTCTTGTTCATTGTGATCTGAATGGAGCTGGATGGGAAACAGGTTTCCTGTCCCATGAGCACTTTTGAGAATTCAAAATTTTCCCAGTTCATGTTGGGATAAAACTGAGACCTTTCAAAGTTTTCCATGAAAAAATAGAGAAACCCCAGAGTAGCCAATAGCCTGGAGTTGAGGGGACTCATGCGGGATGAGGGAGAATCAGGGTTAAGTCCCTGCTCTGCCTGATTCAGAAAAGAGCCTTGACCCAAGTATCCCATATCCCAGGTTATTTTGGGGGCACCCACATCAGCTTCATCCTAGCTGGCAAGACAAACAGTACATTCCCAGGGAGAAATATACACACTAGCTAGTACACGATGACATTCTGTATCACACTGCGTCGTACCCATCAATAGAGAAATATGACGGGTCTATATTGCTCTCTTTTTCAAGGAGATAAATGCAGCTCTTGCCCTGAGGGCTGGATACAGCATAGAAGGAAGTGTTACCATTTTACACATGAAAGGAGCTCCTGGGAGAAGAGTCGAGAATACTGCTCGTCTCACAGCTCCAGACTGCTGAGGATAGAGAACAAGGAAGAATTGGTGGGGAATTTACCCTTTGCCTTATTTTCCTGTATTTTCCAAACTACACCTGCCCAATATTCATCTGCTGGGGAAATGGGATATGGGTATAAAATGAAAAATAACACTGGCAGGGTAAAATGACCCTCTAAACTGCTTGTGTTGTATTCAGAGCTGTGTCCCCAAGAGACACTGGGCAGATTTTGGGCACCAGAGAAGGAGTGAATCCAAATTTTATCACTGACTTCAGGACTGATTAAAGGGAGTGTGATGTCCTAGCCTAGGGATTAGTGCTCTGCATAGCACGAGGAAAGCAGAAAGTCCATTCCTAGGGTCTGAGTCTCCTCTCACTCCATGGTGAATCAGGACGTCCTCCACTGAATTCAATGAAATGAAACCCATCTGAGAATAAAACCAAGCTTTGTCTCTCTTTAACAGAGGCTGGAAATGCTGTTGGGTTAGTGTTTGTGCTGCTCGGGAAGAGAACTCCTCATCTCTCTCATTAGTGATACCCCTGGCTGATGGGACAATTGTGTTGACTTGTTCTCCAGGGTATCCTATCAGTTCTTCTCAGCCAGGACAGTAGCTGTGATGCTTCCCTGGAGGGGCAGGTGCAGATCAAATTGGGCAAAAATCTCATAAAATCTATGGTTAACTATTTTGGAAAAAATGAGGTGTGATTGGCCAACGTATGGGCATTACGAAACACTGGTCCTGTTTGGGACACATCAACCTCATTCTCATCCCTGGTATCCATATACCTACCAAAGTGGATTGATGTAAATGATTTAGTCTTGTTCCCAAACAGGATTTCATAAACAGACTGGTGTGTTTTCACTGGATTGGACTATTCCGTACGGGAGCTGCTACAAGCTGGATGTGGGAGGATGGCACAGCTTATTCTATTGAGCTGTAAGTCTCTGGCAGATCTAGAAGTTGTTCTCTTGTGTTTTACATCCTTGTGCATTTCTTACAGAATTTGCAGTCTGGCACTGCTACTGAACATATAGAATTATTGTGCATTTTTTACTTCTACAAATTCTCACAGGAAGGAGTGGTGCTAGTTGGATTGTTTAAATCTAAATGAATAAACATAATAAAACAATTGAATAACATTAACAGTGGTAGGTGTAACTCTGTCAGAGCTACATACGAATATAGACATTCACAAATATTCTAAAATGGGACATTTCAAAGCTGAAACACTGACTAAGGGTGATGCCACCATTACACTTAATGAGGAAAAGAAGAGAATACCCTCCTACCCTTGAACATTAAATTGCACAACAGCTGCAGTAAATAGAAACAAGAGGCCTTCTCAGCTAAATTAACAATCTCACACTAAAAAAAATTCCAAATTGCAAAGAAATGCTTTTCATAGCTCATCTTGGAGGACATGTTATTCTGAGAAGTGAAATTAATAGGTAAGACAAGTTAACTCCAATATTTAGGGAGCCAAATGCAATGACACTGTTTGTGATTTAAAAAAATGGCATGGCTGAGTGTTAAATGTAGCTTTCCACCCCAGGTTCCAAGTAAAGAGGAAAGAGCCTGGAGCATCCTGTGCACTTTTGAAGGCAGGAGAAGCCACCTCCTATAATTGTACTGAACAATATCGCTGTATTTGTGAGAAGAGAGCTGCTTAGCTGAAGCCTGCTGAACAACACAAGAAGATCACAGCATCCGTGAGACACATAATCCTGGGATGTTCCAAAGAGAAAGAGAAATCACAACCCCTTCGATTTGCTGTGTTACCATTCAGACTGATGGCTGCAGTTTCAGGTGATAAAACACACAGCAGACTGTCAAGAAGCAGGGCAGAAACCCCAAACTGGAATCTTCTCCAGCCAACCAGAGCACTCCCACCATACTGAATGACTGTCATTCCCACTTGGGTTGATAAGAGTTGATTTCAGAGGCCATTAGTGCAAATATTAATAAATACTTTGTAAAAAAATATAGAGTGTTGTTTGTGCACTGGGTGTTTTATGGAAAAATACAATTTGCCCCAAAGAGCTTACAGTGTAAATTCAAACAAAAGACAATCAATGAGGCTCATACAGAGACAAAAGAGGAATGGGAGAGGAAGAGATTCACCATCTTGGTGAATGGGGATTGAGCTGGGGATGTCTAGAGCTAAAAGCCTGAGTTAGAGAAATAATTCCCCAGCTGGCAGCTGTAACACACTCACATACTCTGTGGGTTGGGCACACAGGGGTATGTGTCACTCACACTGAACAAATATCAGAGGGGTAGCCGTGTTAGTCTGAATCTGTAAAAAGCAACAGAGGGTCCTGTGACACCTTTAAGACTAACAGAAGTATTGGGAGATATTGGGAGATCCCAATACTTCTGTTAGTCTTAAAGGTGTCACAGGACCCCCTCACACTGAACAGTGGGTTACAGATTTTCCCTGAACAGAGAAAGCTTGTCTCAGGCTCACAGCAGTTTGAATCCCAGATCAGCTTCAATTTTATAGCATGTGCAATCTTGGTTATGACCACGGATTGAACGGGAGGCCTCCAGAGCTAACATCATGAGTCTCTACAGCTTGAGATGTGCTTAAACAAATGAGGTGCTTAAATTTGGCACTGTCACCCTGCCTGGAGTGGCGCACAACCATGAGTGTCAACCTTAGGGCAGGCTGTCAAGCACCAGGGCAGAGATCCGAAACTGGCTGTGTGTTCTATAATTAGATTTCACAAATCCAGTAACAAGTGTGAACTCCTAAAGCACTATAACTGCCTTACTATGGAGTCACAGACCAGTCCCCTGGGAAATTCCAGTCTATCTTGCCACCCAGGCAACTGGACTATGTGATAATTGATTACTTTATCAAAACCACAACAATATTCAGGTTACTCCGAATAGCAAAGGACCAGTCTTGGAGCTTTGTGCTTAATGTTGGGAAAACAGAGCTGTCCCTCCTCCCCTCCTGTTTGTGCATGTTTGTGGATACTCGTTCAGAGTCCCAGTCTAAATGTGTTTGAAGCTATTCTCTGGAATGTTCACAGTCTCCTTCAGCAACCTGTTCAGAATTTTTTTAACAAGAATTGAAATGACAATTAGAGATGAAGGGCTGGATTTGTAGCTGGTGTAACTTGATATAGAGCCACTGAAGTCAATGAAACTTCACCAAATCATACCAGCTGAAGATCTTGCCCAAGTTGGTCTTAGTTGCACAGGGCCAGGTTAGCCCCTGCTAGCCTCAGGATCAGGGAGAAGTCAGCAGGCCAAGTCCTTCCAATGCTTCCCTCAGGCTTGGGCCCTCTGTGGATCAGGGATCCTGTCTTTTTGCTGGATCAGGAAGAAGGCTCTGAGCCTGTTTAAAACCAGGCTATTTATTGACTGTTGGTCTGTATAGAATCCAGTTTGAACTAATATGTGGCAACCTCTCCACGTAGCTACAAAGGGCTAATGACCTGCAGAATTATATTAGCATCCCCCTGCTCCTGGTGCAGTTACATACAATTCCACAAAAGCATGGACACAGCAACATTTTTAATACAATGTACCCAAAAGATATTAAACCTAATTCAATACGATTTAAACTTTACTGAATTAAGTTACCTTAATGCCATAAGGTGTCTCCAGTATAGTGTTAGTCTGAACACTCTTGCACAACCTACACAAGGGAGGGAGGGGGCTTCAGTGAGCTTGGGATCAAGCCCTAAATGTACTTGAATAAGGTCAGTGTAACACTTTTACCCCCTATTAGCTGAATGTCTGGATATATTAGAGCAGCTACTCCAAATATTCCAGGGTTCTGATTACTTAAACTTTGATCTTGTGGTTACTGTACTGTACTGTGTGGTAGTGTAAAGCAAGGGCATAATCTTGATTTCATTCAACAGATTGAGCACCCTACTAAAGCTTTTATGGGAATGGGGAAAGACTCCCGGCAAAGCTATGCACTAATTATGGAATGTGAGGATTAGTGAGGTGGTTAAATTTAACATATGATATTTCTGATTATCTATTTTTTAAATTTAACTTTTAGGGCCAGATTCACTATTTAGTAAGAGTGCCTGGACTCCATGTGAGTGTCTAATTTTAACTGCTCTGGCTTAACAATTATAGCTTTTAAATGGTCCCACTGACATTTTGAAGTTACCATGTTGAGGTTGGTGTCTGCATGTGTGAGACGCTGAGCTGCTGCTGTGGTTTCACTGGAGAAGTTTTATTTCATTGTGAAAGCGAACTTAACAGTCACTTGCATAACGGCAAATCTCATCTAATAGAAAAAAATGGTAGGCACTCACTGATAATGCACTAATTCAGTACAATTGCACCTATTCAATACCAGTTACAGCTAAACAGTTCCTGTTTGATGTCCTTTGAAAAGTCTGTATTTCCTGAATAAAGCAATACTTAAGGTCAATTAGTTTACTTAGTGGAAAGTGAACACATTTTTTTGTCTTTGTTTTTTTCTTCCCATTAATTACACAATAAACATGGGAAACTCAAACAGTGACAGCAGGAGAATGAAGACATGATTTACATTCTAGCAATATAGAATTGATCAAAAATGTCCTATCCTTTGATTTCATCTTCATTTTGGGGGAGGTCAGATCATCTTGTTGGAAAATCCTGGATGCTGTCAATAATAATCACAATGGGTCTGATTCTGTTACACTTCTTGTTAGGAGTAAGTCACTCCATGACTCGTCTCAATTCAATCAACGGAACAAACTGCAGATTAAAAGAATGTGCTTTCATCATGGAGCTCATCGTAAGGGTTTAATCATGGTTAGCTAACACAATGCTGAATGTTTGTTCTTCTCCATATAAACTGTGTTCAGCCACAGTTCACCTAACACAGTTACTGAAAACTATGTTCAGATATGGCTAAACTTCATTGTATAGAAGTCCTGAGATACTTCAGATTATCACTATTAATATTATAATTATTTTATTATTACATATATTTATAGAGCTCCCATCACTGTGGTATCGGATCTGCCAGAACGTCCATGTTGGAGGGTTAACAATGTCACTAACCTGCTGCAAAATGCTTCAGACTTAGGGAAAACAGCCTGCTTCCTGCTCCTGGGCTCAGCTTCTCCCAGCCCACACAGGGCACATGGCCTTTTGTAAAGCAGTTGCCTTGACTGCTTGCCCTCATGGAGTCTGACCCCAGCAACAGGGAACCTAATGAGTATACCCAAAGCTACCACACCCAATTCCAGAAACTTCTGGTTGTGAAGTGTTAATTGTGCATCTGCCTAGCAACAATGACCCAGACACAACCCACTCCTACCCACTCCCCAATAGATTTCCCTATTAGGCCTGTGGGTTACAATAGCACAGCTTGCTAATTCAGCAGACCTCAGTGTAAAGAAAGACTACAGGTACGGTTCAGTGACAAAGGCACTCGGACAGGTTTATTGTTCTCATGGCACAGTACTAGTGTCCTGGGTCTGTGGTTACAGGTATACTAACACACGAGTTCTCTGTGGCAAGGAACAGCTCAGTCTGCAACAGGAATCTCTGCTGTCCCCTAGACCACACAAAGGGTTACAGGGAAGTACCTTGACATTTATAGAGTACAACTTAGGTACCACCTTATGTGTTTCATGACATCTGCTTGTTACTGCCTCTTGTATCTTGCTCCAGGTGTCTTGGGCAAAACATCTCTATTCATCACTTCAATCAAACCATCTTATCTTGTGTTAGGTCAGGATGTACCTGGGCTAATCTTTTGGAATGTGTTCACACACATACCCAGTATCTGTTGTTTCTTAGGAATGCCTGTGTTTTGGCATCACTAGCAATACCTTTGCCAAGGTCATATATTGGACAGTAAACTTGTAAGCATCTGCTTTAATAGATGACCTGATTTTGGTTCCTGGCATGGCCTGACTTTGCTGACTATGGTTCAGGCCTCAGGTCTTCCACCAGGCCTAGTGCTGCAAGCTCTTTTTCTCTCCTACAGACAAGTCCTTGTCTCTGCCCTGAAGAGGGATGAAGAGCATGTTATTGCTCTTACAAACCATGTCATCAACAATATGACAATCCCATTGTGACATACCAGGGTACAATCTAGACTAATGAGCAGCTGTGTCACCCTTCCCCTGCAATCTTGGGTGCCTTACAATGCCTTGCTGAAGGAGTTCCACTTGTGCCTCTCACAAGCAGCCTTCCAGCATGCAACCCACACCCTCCATGTCTGTGTGTAACTGCAGCCTGCCAGATACACTTGGGTTACAATCCGGCTCTCCCCAGCTTTGGTTATACTGCAAGGTGACCCCCAACACACTCTCTGTCTTAAATTTCCCCCCAGAAATGTATGTCCTGTTCTGCCCAACCTTATCATAGACAATAAAAGTTACATTAAGTCAGTTATTTCTTTAATAGAAATAATATACACACAACTTGCCATCCCAAATTGAGTTTTCAAGACACTTAAATTTAAACATACTAGATTAGATAAAACAATTAAACGAGTTTATTAACTATAAAGAGAGATTTTAAGCGAGTACAAGTAATGAGGCATAAAAAGTAAGAAGGTGATACAAGAAAAAATAAAGATAAATCATTATTGGTACCTAACTTAGCAAAATATGTTAAATTCAAAGCAAAGTTTTCTCTACACATGCTTTCAGCGGTCTTACCTACCAAACTTCTGAGGTCAAGACCCCTCCCTCAGTCCAACAGCTGCTTCCTTTATCCTTTCAGTTTCAGTGAATGGATGGGCAGAAAGAGAGGGGAGCCTGAGGTGTTTGTCCCGCCTTTTTATAGTTTCAGTCCCCCTCTTGAAAACATTTCCAGCTGGGTAGCAGGATACAAAGAGTCTATGTTGAAGGATGTTCCCTGTTGCTTTTTTCTCACCTGTTTGAGCTTCCTTTGTTTCCCTTCGTTCTTCATGACTCTGTTTACTGCTTAAATGCAATTTAAACAGAGCACACG